TTCTTGTTCTTTTAAGCATGTCTTATTAACCCCTTCCCAGTTAATTATTTTGGGAAAAACGTTTCATTTTCAGACGATTTTTTTTATCTGTTTTTAATATAGTAACTAGGAAACTGAGGTACCTTGAAGTACCCGAGCGATGACTAACACTTCTACCAGATGTATAAGTTGACAACTGGGCTCATTTCAAGCACAGAAGGGCATAAAAAGAATAAAGATCGTCGACGTACAAACAAAAACACGTCTGTAGCTGGTTTTTGAGCGTTACGTTTTGGACGTGTTTATTCGTCCATATCTGAAAAACTTATATGTACATCTACGCATGTGAATGGGATAAATGAATAGTTATTTTATGCTTTCTAAATTTCTCTTCTTCTAATTTGTGAATATACTTATCTGAAACAACCGCCATATTTGCAAAATATATTCGCAAATTAGAAAGAAGATCAACATATGCAATATACATAAAATGTCTATTCTATTTTTAATAATACCCCATATATATATATATATATATATATATATATATATATATATATATAAATATATATACATATCTTACATTAATTGCACAACTCTGAGTTTCATGCCGAAGCAATTTTCAAGTGCTGGAATTATTATATTTATTTATATTTTGGGTTGACAACATTTTTTTTTCAAATTTTCTAGTACTCGCTAAATATATTATTGTTGGGGTGGAAAATTATTGTAGTTAAAATATATCGAAAAGAATTGTAGTTTAATTTTGAATTTGAATTTAAGCCCAGCTTAACATTTAAGTTTGAAAATAAGGTTGAAAAGAAGAAATATAAATTCTAAATTAGAGAGACGCTAGTTTTGAAACCGTAAGTAAACAAAAAAGAGGCGTTGGAAACTCAAGGCGGGTAACTCTATTTTTTTCCAAAAATCAAAAGAGTAATTAAGAATATTACTAATATTTATATTAATATTACTGAACTAAAACTAATGGTATCGGAAACAATTTATACCGTGATAAAAGTATATATATATATATATATATATATATATATATATATATATATCTGTGTGTGTGTGTGTGCGCGCTCAGGGGGAGGATTTGAAATGGGATTAATCACTTTTATTTTAAAATATTTTTCTTTTAACTTAAGTCTACTAATTGTGCTCTTTTCTGATCCAAACCTGAAGAAATTTAAAATTGACTGAAATCAATGACACGGTCGCTTTCAATATTGTATTCATCGGTGTTCTGATTGCTTTCTTGAGTTTTATACCTCTTGTTTTCTGTAAAGGATACTAATTTGTTTGTTAACCTTTATCACTCTGTATGTGACTTCATTTGCTATACAAAAAGTTTGCTTAAATTTCATAGTTGTATTGTCATATCCTGCTATGGCAATAGTAAACAACTGTGAGTAAAATTAATAGTAAGGATACTGCATTAGAGAGGCCTAGAAAAAGAATGCAGTGGAAAGGGAAGTAATATTAATGATGCATAATGCTAAAGGTTTACCTTTTAATATGACATTCAGATTTGAACAAAATCTATAAAGATATATTAATGTCTAAAATATACAATTTTCTTTTGGCAATTTCAGTTATAATTTGCTTTTTTCTATCTTTTTTTTCTTTATTTCTTTTTTATTTATTTATATACTTTTTTTCGTCTCACTCACGAGTTAAGAATTTTTCTTTGCTTAGTCCAAATACTCGAGGAATGGCGAATAAGGAACCAACTAAAACGTTGGGATTGAGGAGAACAGGGAGAAAGTGTGGTGATGGTGGGGGGGAGGGGGCTGGTAATCATTCAACTATTATTATAAAACATCCCAAAATTTTAGACCAAAGAATCTCTTCTAAAAGCGAGCGTACTCTTACGCTATAATATTCATTGGTTCCATTTCCAAGAGGAAAACTCCACATCTATTCACCTTCTTAAAAGGACATAGCAGGGAAAAGTATGAACACGTACGCGGTCGGCATTTCAAGTTATATCAGACGCACAGACATAGAAGACGCGCCCTCCTGTTTTCCAGCAGGCAAATTCCAGAGACCACTTCATATATTACATACAAGCCCATGCTCTTTCTTTCGCTTTATATATATATATATATATATATATATAGGTGTGAGTGTACATGTGTGTGTTATTATTATTATTATTATTATTAATGGTTGGGTTTGCGAATGATAATTTGGGAGGGTCTTCCACGTGTGTTGCAGGTTTTTAGATGGCTAGAGAGGTCTATACCATAGAGGAATGCATTTCCACATCGATTGCAGGAGAGGGTGTGTTAGCCGGTAGATACGATTTGATTTCTTTACGCTTACAAGAAAATGGAAGTATTAATATACGATTTGTATGTAAATCAGCTTATATGATATGAGAAGTACTGACCGTACCATGGCTCCATGCGTCAACAGATAAGAATTTGAAGCTTTAAACCCCGTGCAAAAATACACACACCCCCGTATAATATATATATATATATATATATATATATATATATATATATATATATATATATATATATATATATATATATATATATATATATATATATATATATATATATATATATATATATATATATATATATATATATATATATATATATATATATATATATATATATATATATATATATATATATATACACACGAGGCGGTGTAATGGTTGGCAAGCTTGTCTCGCTAGAGCAATTACGACTGAGTAGTGAGTTCGATCCTCACTGGGTGCCCACTACTTTCGGCCTTGTGCCACATCTAAGCTACGCTTGGAAAATCACTATATGCATACATATATGTGTCTATATGCGTATGCATACATATATGTGTGTATATATTTTGTGTGTGTGTATATATATATATATATATATATATATATATATACATACACACACGCACATATATGTGTGTGTGTGTATGTGTGTATATAAAGAATAGCACTTAACTAAAAAGAACGTATAACAACTTTTTTCCTTTCAATTGAATACTGTTCGCGCGGCACGTGTCTTAACAATTATCATCATCATCATCATCATCTTGTGCATGAATTTCTATTTTTCCTCCAGAGGTCTGGTGGTTACCGCTAAAAATTATTTGGGAGCAAGCCTCCACCAATCTCCGATACATTTCTCAGTATTCATGCCGAATTTTTATTTTGCGGGAAAAAGAAAGGAAAAAAAGAAAAACTCCCGGGAGGATGCTTCCCTGATCATTACAATCTCTTAATATCTTCAAATCTAGAGTCAACCGCTCCCTGTCCTAAATATATTCATAATATGTACTTCTTTCTTCCTCCTTTTAGTCCCCTTCATTCAGTAACCCCCTACTATGGGTGGCTCTTGAACCGTGTATTGAATGTACATTGGTGATCGTAAAAAGAATAGCCCCTAGCAATGCCACGATCTTTAGCAGTCTCATTCACTCCACAGTTTCCTCTTATCTAGATTCCAGTGCTTTTGCCACGACACCAGTTGCGCTTATTATTAATGGTACCAAAATCACTCTTCATATTTCGTTATCTTTTTCAGCTCACGAGCAAAGTCCTGGTATCTTTCAACTTTACTCTTTTTGTTCGCGCTTACTCACTGATCTGTCAATATATACACGTCTACCCGTCCTGGTATGACATCCGCGTCCTCGGTAAGACGATAAACAACGTCCAACAGCAAGGCCTCTGATCAGGCGGTTTTGAGGAGCGTGGAACCACCTCTTAATTGCTGGTGTTCCCAGGTCCACCCTGACCTGGGGTGGTAGCACCTGTTAGGGTCCCGGCTATGGGCAAATAGTTAAAATAGGTTTTAATACCAGAAATACTTTGTAAAAAGAAAATACCAGTTACACATTTTTTGAAAAGAAAAAATATTATCAGCGATGCATATCTGAAAGAAAATTACTGCAGAAATAGATTCGTGAAGAAAAATTTTTTTACCAGAAATAGATTTGTTATAGACAAAAATATTACCAAAAATAGATTTTTTGAAGGAAAAAATATTACCAGAAGTAGATTTTTGAAAAAAATATGAACTACAATAAAAATTTTGTCGGCATTAAATAACCCATTGAGGTTGATATGCCGTAAAACAAACCAAACCAAACATACACGTCTATGATCTATTATTATTATTTCGCGTTTGCATTTCCAGATGCTTCGTGATTATCATGATTGTTATTAAGTGAGAGAGCAACAAGTCAACAAAGTTGCACTAGGCTACAAATACACGAAGTTCAATACACTTGACATCCAATCTGATAAGAGTACACCAGGCATATGCATCATAGCCAAATGTGCGTGTTATGACATAATTTTTTTTTTGCATCACCTTTTAGGTTTGGTTCAGTTAGAAGATTTTCAAGTCGAGTAGATCACCGACTGAAAGTACACCTACATACTAAATGTGATTCCCAAGTCGCATTGACTGCCTCATTAAAAAAAAGAAACTCAGCCCTCTCGACACTCGGTCATGATCCTCCATGATTTCCCTTACTCATGAACAGGAATTCACAATCGGCCATCCCATAAGGAACACGCCCAACTGGTGTATGGTCAAGCAACTGACAAGCAAATCTCTGTTAGTGATGGCGATGTTTATTGTAGCCCATAGTTATTTACCAAGACAAAACATATGAATCAGTTCAAATCAGAAGCCATGAGAGTCCTGTTTGTTAGTGCGTCAGCATATTTATTATTATTATTATTAGTAGTAGTAGTTTTTTTGCAAAGCTTATTGGGTGTTATTAGCTGGTTTTACACTTACTGGATATCATGCTACACCCCACAGCCTTAGGTATTTAGTACTTTTTCTGATTGTTCGTGCTGTGCCAAGCAAACAGGCCTTCTGCAACGCATAAAAAAATCCCGGTAAATCTAAATGCTTTCAACCAATGGGCAAAATTCCCTGACACTGTTCCTAATGCTCCGATTTCAATCTTTATCTTTTGGCAATTCCATATTCTCTTGATTTTGTACTTTAAATTTGTATGGTTATCATTTTTCTGTCTTTTCTCAACTAACCTCATATTCGAATGATGAAAAAAGTAAAAGAGAAGCGATAGAAAAAGACAGGAAGGTAGAAGAAGAAAAAAAGACAAGAAGAAGAAGAAAGGAAAGAAGAAGAAGGAATAAAGGTATAAGAAGAAGAAGAAAGAAAAGTAGGAGAAAAAGGAGGAAGGAAGATAGATGACGAAAAAGAAGAAACGGAAGTAGAAGGAAAAGAAAGGAAAGTAGATGAAGAAGAAAGGTAGATGAAGAAGTAAAAGAAAGGAAGATAGAAGAAGAAGAAAGAAAGGTAGATGAAGAAGAAGAAGTAAGGAAGGTAGATGAAGAAGAAGAAAGGAAGGAAGGTAGAAGAAGAAGAAGAAGAAGAAGAAGAAGAAGAAGAAGAAAGGAAGGTAGATGAAGAAGAAAGGAAGTTAGAAGAAGAAAAAGAAAGGAAGGTAGAAGAAGAAGAAAGGAAGGTAGATGAAGAAGAAGAAGAAAGAAAAGTAGGAGAAAAAGGAGGAAGGAAGATAGATGACGAAAAAGAAGAAACAGATGTAGAAGGAAAAGAAAGGAAAGTAGATGAAGAAGAAAGGTAGATGAAGAAGTAAAAGAAAGGAAGGTAGAAGAAGAAGAAAGAGAGGTAGATGAAGAAGAAGAAAGGAAGGAAGGTAGAAGAAGAAGAAAGGAAGGTAGATGAAGAAGAAAGGAATGAAGATGAAGAAGAAAGGAAGGTAGAAGAAGAAGAAGAAGAAAGGAAAGTAGAAGACGATACAGAGCAAACAAATATGGTCTTGTTACACTGGGTTTTAAAGAAAAACAACTAAAGTAAAAAGGAAATATTAAGAAAAATGACGTCCTGCTGCCTTGGCGGTAGACCTCTTATTAAAAGTTCAACGAAATCTACTGACAATGGAGATGTTAATACGATTAGAAATGATAACGGCACTACTATCGCCACTATCAACAATTCTTTTTATTATCTTCTATTATCGTAAAAAGTAGAAAAATATATCTGGAAACCATGTGGCAACAATGTATTGCGTAGAAAAAGAACGGAAAAGAAACACTAAATATTAAGAACAGCAGATTACGAAAAAAAATATTAAGGTAGAATTTTTTATTCATTACTATTCTTTTCCTTTTATGTTATTTATTTTATTTCTGGTTTGGAGGAAAATGCAGATTGGCGAGAACATGGATGACTACCGATAGAGCCAGAGAAACAAAACTAAAGAGAGGTGCTTCTTTGGGGGCTGTGAATTAATCCACCTGGAGACGTTGAAAACATAGATCGTCAGCAGGTTTGAATGGATCAAGGATAAGAAGAGAGATGGAGAATTCGACACTCTTTATAAACAGTCCCAATGCAAAATATCTTAAGGGTTTCGGATGGATGTGTTATTAGGATGGATCAAGGATAAGAAGAGAGATGGAGAATTCGACACTCTTTATAAACAGTCCCAATGCAAAATATCTTAAGGGTTTCGGATGGATGTGTTATTAGATCCGTGAATCTCAACCACCATGCCGCAGCACATTAAGCGTGCCGCGAAATATTCTCACGGCATACATATATATATATATATATATATATATATATATATATATATATATATATTCATGAATTATTCACACAAAAACAAATGCAAAGGTTAATGATTTAATTGGCGAGAAATCCATCGTAGCAAACAATTCAAATAATATACAAAAACCTCCGAATCCGTTATGAATGAAAAGATCCTTGTTTCTATAAATTTCTGCCGTATTAGTTCTTATTTTTACTACAAGCTTTCGCCTGTCCCTACAGACATCTTCAGGTATGGAATAGATGTTGTTCTTGTTTTTCTCTTAGTAATAAGAGGACAACGAAAATATATGTATTGTTGTATCCGAAAATGCTATTGAAATGAGTTATTGTTTTTGAAGCGCGCAGTAGCAACGCTGAGTTTGATTTTAAATTTTTTACAGTTGTGCGTTCATGTACAAATATGGTGATGAACGAATTTTTTACTGGTAAATTTTCTGTCATAAGTGGCATGAACTATATTGTTCAATAATTACAGTAATGTCGCACTTATTATCCAAAGTCGCACTTGGATCAGTTATTTTAATTACGATAAACGTGCAATCAATTTACAAATTCATGAATTATTCACACAAAAACAAATGCAAAGGTTAATGATTTAATTGGCGAGAAATCCATCGTCGCAAACAATTCCAATAATATACAAAAACCTCCGAATATATATATGTGTGTGTGTGTGTGTGTGTGTGTGTGTGTGTGTGTGTGTGTAAGTAGCAATGGTAGAACGTTAAGATTTGAATAAACGAATTATTGAACTTTTTATTCAAATAATTCTTTTCGTTATTCTTGGATTATGTTATTTTAAATACTTTTTTTTAATATCCATTTTTTAATAAGTATTTTTATTTTTTTAATTTAACTTTTTAAAATTTTCCTTTATTTGAATAAACGAATATTAACCTTTTTTCATATAATTTTATTCAACATTCTTTGTTTTATTTCATAACATTTAAACGTATACCCTTTCAACATTTCGCAAAGTGTGCCGTGATATTTTCATTTGCTTAAAAAGGTTGAGAAACACTGTATTAGATAACAAAAAAAAAAAGTGTGAATCACTGACAGACTCTCCAGTAAATTGTTCCTCTATCGAATCACGATAGAAAAGACTGTGTAGTATCACTTTTAGCAAAACACTAATCATTACTTAAAATATCATTTTGTTGTAACAGAGGAGAAGGAAAATAGATTCAGTTTACTTTTTAGGCTTTTTTTTTTTTTTTTGCTTTTAGAACCTTCTATCCTTTTATCAGCAATTTAGAACCTTCTTGTAAGAAGGTTCTATCCTCCTATCAGCAGTATTATTACAATTTGACTCGTTGAAGAAGAAGAAAAAGAAGAAAGTTCTATCCCTCTCTCATTATTATTATTGCAATTTGACTCGTTGTTATTTTACACATGGCTTCCTTCGAATTTTCACTCCAAATGACGTTACGCAAGTTCGAAAATAGATTAACCTGATGCTGCAAAGGTTTTGCGGAAAACAAACAAAAATAATTTCTGTCTGAATTTCTGGAACGAGGAGTTATCATTATTTACACTGTTTACATAGCCCTGGGTTTGACGAAAAACTACATCCGGCAGTAAGTTCTCTAATTAGAAGAACGGAGGTTTTGAGGAGTATGGAGCCACCTCTTAATTGCTGTTGTTCCCTGGTCCATCCTGACCCAGGGTGGTAGCACCTGTTAGGGCCGCAGCTATGGACAAATAGGGAACCCCTAGACAAAATCAGAGCACTATGAAAGCATAAAATACACTTTTTTTTTAGTAAAATGGCCAACAATACATATTTATTGCAAAATGATCAGCAATGCATTTTATAGTAGAATTACCAACAATACATTTTATAGCAAAATGACCAACAATACATTTTATCTGTAGTTGAAGGCATGCATTTACGCTCAAAATATTTAGATTTTGGCATTAAATATCCCATAGAGGTGTTTATATGTCACGAAACAAAATCAACCAACCAATATGAAAAAACTCTTTCATGACATTAATCCATATAATATTCTACAATTTCTTAAAGAAATCAAACTGTATTCCAAAATGTAACTTAAAAAAAAACTGCAGCATAAAACACATATATTATCACCTCTAGTAATTTTGTCTGCACAAATATGTATAAGCACAAAAGCTGAGTATCATCTACCATGTATTCTATTCTGAAAGTAAAATAACATATATTTTTTATTACTTCAAGGCTCCCAAGAAAATTTAATTTCGGCATTAAATGACCCATAAAGAATTAATATGCCGTTAAACAAGCAAAACAAACAAACACTATTTATACCAGGATTAGTGTCCTCATGATATCACAACGTTTTGGTAGTTATGCCTGCCGGCTTTCATCAGATGTATATAAATTCTCTGTAAGTTACCCAGATCGACATACACATTATGTAGGTTGAAGAGTACAACGTCCGAAACGTTGTGATAACAAAAACAAAGATGAGGACAACAGTCCGTGTGTAAATAATGCTAATAAGAAAAAAAATAACATTTACTTTACACAGTACTGAGAAATAAAATATTGGACCGTCTTACACATAAACTATCCAGTATTTTACAAGAGTAGCAAGTTAGAGGTAAAATAGCAGTAGAGACTAGGTTCTATAGCCTTGTTTGGCAACCTGTTTAGGAGAAGGATAACTCTGAATTCAAGACTAGTGTAGCCAGCTCTTAAATATAACATATAATAATTTCAATAGCTTTATCGAACATCTGATCCTAGCAAACGGTTTGACGCAAAACTCTGGAGTCGGTCAAGGAGATAAGTCCATTAAACATTTATAAATTTAGTTATCTACTAAGCGCTTTTTGGCAGAAGTTCCACAGGCTTCAACATTACGTTACATTTTGGTAATCCTTACGTATTATTATATATTTCTTTGAATTTATATTGTGTATCACAGAGATAGACCTCTCTTTGTGTATGTATATTTATGCCTATATGTAGCCCTGGCGAAGCACATACTATCAGCCAAGGAAAGGATCGTGGATAATAAAAGAATAAGGAAATCTGCACTCGTATTCTGTTTGATCTCAGTACAACCGTTAACTTTTCTGCCTAGGAGAAGAGTGTAGAATGCACTTTGGTCTTTCGTAGTTGGAATGAATTACATTTTCTGACCAAGTGAAGGAATTAAAAATAAGTAGAAAGAGGCGGAGGTAGACTAGTGGATTAAAACGTTGTTTCGTTAATTTGATAGCATAGTAATTGTGAATTGAATATTTAGGCTGAGTAGAACAAATTCAGTAAAATCGGTGAACAATAACTGAACAAAATGTGCTATCTCCACTAGACATGGACAGCGGTACGAGTACATTATATACGTATATTAAATTGGGCACCTCAGTGTGGTGTAATGGTTAGAAAGATTGACTTTCTAGATCAATTACTACTGAGTAGTGAGTTCGTTCCTCACTGGTTACCCAATACTTTCGACCTTGTGCCACATCTAAACCGCGCTTAGAAAATCACTATAAACATTCGTTTGGGCATCTCGAGGCGGTGTAGTGGTTAGCAAGCTAGTCTCGCTAGAACAATTAGGACTGAGTAGTGAGTTCGATTCTCACTGGATGCCCCATACTTTCGGCCTTGTACCACATCTAGGCTACGCTTGGAAAATCACCTGGGGCACCCCGAGGCGGTGTAATGGTGAGCAAGCATGTCTCGCTAGAGCGATTAGGACTGAGTAGTGAGTTTGATCCTCACTGGGTGCCCCCTACTTTCGGCCATTTGCCACATCTAAGCTACGCTTGGAAAATCTCTCTCTCTCTCTCTATATATATATATATATATATATATATATATATATATATATTTATGAACAACTAGGTAATCCGCATGGGTAAATCCAAGGAGAATAAAATCCAGAGTGCTCAATGTAAATCCAGAGCAAATAATTTAAATAAAAAACAGACCAATTTAAGGTTCCATTATTTTTCATTTTTTGTTTCAACCTTTGGAAGTAAAGTCTGATGATCCGCAGTTCTTTAAAAGGGCTGTGGTGAAATAATTTATTATTAAAGTGGTCTGTTTTTTATTTAAATTATATATATATATATATGAGTGAAAGATTAAGTGCAGATCAAATATGGATCGGAATCCAACACGATGATAAAATAAAAGAACAAATAGGAAAGGTATATCAATCTAACATGTTTCAGTTTTATTAAAGCTTCTTCAGAGATTAAGAGAAAACAGACAAAAGGCAGAAACACTGATATCCTCGTCGGTCGGTCACATAATCACCCAAACAATATTGAAAATACCAAAATATTGTCTTTTTGTCTGTTTTCTCTCAATTGCTGACGAAGCTTTAATAAAAGCGAAATATATTCATATATATGATATTCATATATATATATGAAATTCATATATATATATATATATATATATATATATATATATATATATATATATATATATATGAATAAAGACAAAAGGAAAAATTATCTTAGATGACGTGTTTCGTTATCTGAGACTTGATAAAGCCCCTTAGAGGACGAAACGCGTCAGCTAAGATAGGTTTTCCTTTTGTCTTTATTCATATTGTCCTTTACAGATATATATTATCTGAAATTTTTACACATAGACACAGACACACATATAATATATATATATTGTATATATATATATATATATATATATATATATATATATGTATATATATATATGTATATATATATATATATATATATATATATATATATATATATATATATATATCATTTGTAATGATGTACGAATTTAAGAGGAATGTATATTTGTTTTGTTTTTTGTAATTATATATTAGGACAAAACATGTATTTATTTTCATATACGTCGACGTTCCATGGTGATGACCTCTAGTTAATGAGTGATTAGCAATTAACCGCATAATTATGCTGTTGTTACTACAGTGTTTTGCAATTTTTGTTAGCTGGAAACCTTTTTGAAACCGATTCACATAAGATCAGGTCGTTTCCAGACGAAACCCAACGCACAAACCCCACCTAACAACGGGCACGTTGACACAAGCTGAGAACACATCACTATTTTTACGCAGGTGTATTTTTCTCCCGTTAAGACTGTGAAGAATCAAAAGTATTTTTAATACATTTTTAATTCAATTAGGAAAAAAAATATCATAAGAAATAAAAACACGTGTTTGAACTTTTCAGAAATGTCTATTATGTAAAGTGTCACATGATTAATTGAACAATCAAGGAGCGATTCTGACTCCAATGATAAAACATCGACACTCACACTAGTCTGCCTATTTTTTTATTCCTTTTTTAAGCAAAGAAATGAAGGGAGTTATAAACATGCATTGCACCAGAAGAATTAAAGGTCAACATGTTTCACCTTAATGTCCAGAGGGAGCTCAGGACGCAAAAGGTTGTTACTCCTTTTACAAGAATTGACCTTTGAAAACGTTCTTCCTAATTTCTTTGCTAGACATCCTTACTGAATCATTTTGATAACGTTCTTGCTATGAATCCTGACTGCATCCATTTGAAAACGTCTTTGCTAAGCATCTTGACTTCATCCCTTTGAAAACTGTTTTGCTAGGCATCTTGATTTCATCCCTCCAAAACGTCTTTGCATCCGTTTGAAAAAATTTTGCTAAGCATTGTAATTGCATCTCTTTAAAACGTTTTTGCTAGGCGTCTTGATTTCATCCATTGAAAACGTCTTCGCTAGGCATCTTGACTGCATCCCCTTGAAAACATTTTTGCTAGGCGTCTTGAATGCATCCCTTTGAAAACATCTTTGCATCCGTTTAAAAGGTCTTTGCTAGGCATCTTAACTGCATTCCTTTAAAACGTCTTTGGTAGGCATCTTAATTGCATCCCTTTGAAAACGGCTTTGCTAGGCATCTTGACTGCATCCCTTTTGAAAACGTTTTTGCTAGCCATTTTCACTTCATCCCTTTGAAAACGTTTTTGCTTGGTATATTCACTTCATCCCTTTGAAAGTGACGGCGAGAGATTCGACCATGTGTCTTACGTTGCTAAAATTGACTCATCCGATTCGTATGTTACCTGTCATTTTTTAAATTACCATTTGGTGGAGAAAATTGATTTTTCTTCTTTTCCTTTCCAGACCATTTCATTCTATATTGTCTGAATCTCTTGGGAGAAATAATTTCTTTTGAACTAATTAAAATTCTTATACAGTAAGTGTATATTTACGTATCAATGTCACATCTAATAACCCAGTGCTCTTAAAGATCGCATAATAAAAAAAGTAATCGATTTAGAAGTATCTATTCATTCAATGCTTTTGCAGCTGTATTGCAATGATTTTTCTTGATGTGGCTCTTTTGTTGATATAATTTTATTTTTGAGCAATCTATATCATACTGCTATAAGCCTGATTTTGTACGTCTTTATGCATATAACCGCTAAGTAGCGAAAATGTCATTGAATTAAGGAGCCTTTATAATGTGCTAAGACATTCCGATGTTCTGTTCAGCTTCGTTCTGACAACTCCTGCGACGACGTCGGTACCAAGCTATATTGGCCTCTACCTTTTCCTTAGACGGCATCAGTGGCGTCGAAAGGGGAGACGTGTTTGCATAAAACTCTGCCCAGGCCTGCGCCCTGGAAAAGAACACTCCAGCGTCGCCTCACCGCGACGGCAAAACACTGGAAGCAGCAGTCTACCGATTGGAGGATTCCAAAGGTCCTTCTGTACGGAGAACTGGCCGACGACAAAAGGGCTACTTTTATCTTCGCTTCAAAGACGTCAGCAAAAGGGATCCGAGCGCGATGGACATGAACATCGAGATACGTGGGAAGACGACGCCAACAATCGCGCACGCTTATGATGTCATTTATAGCGAGGAGAGAAGAATCGGAGGTTTGCTGCCGGGGAGAAGCGGGATCGAAGCATTCATTGCAATCGAGACTACCACTCCCGCGTGGGCCTGTACAGTCATAACAGATACTGCGTCGCTATCGACAGCTGAAGCATAACGTTTTGGACACCGATCCATGGTCTCTGGAGACCGACGGATATCACATATATAAAATGCGCTAATACTTACGGTCATATCACTTTGAAACACCGTTTCTGATCAGCTCACCGAAGTTGAGCAACATTTTTTTCTGACCAATACCTAGATGGGTAACCACTTGGGAATAACAAGTAGAGAATTCATAATTAATTCCATCGTATTCTTTTTCTTGAGGATATCCCAATTGCTCACCGGCTTGTCTAGTTTGAATTCAAAGTGATCTGCTACTGAACGATAATATTATGGGATCTGTGTTGACCTGGAAAATTGATTTCTCAAGGGAGATAACTATTAAATATTAATTATAGTATATAAATCCTTATTTATCTACTTACTTGCACAGAGCTAAAAAAATCTGGATGCAGAAAATGCCCCCTTTTGCGCATAATACACAAAAAGATAGCATAATATTTAAAAATTCAACGATAATGTATTTTCGTTTTCACCGTAATTTTCTCTCAAAGGGAGCCCGAACGTGTCACAGGCTTGACTTGTCTCTTTTACAAACATTACAGTTCAATAGTTCGTTCGTTGCTAAAATACTACTGAACTGTCAGAACAAATTTCTGATAACAACTATCACCATCATGAACGGAAGGCGGTGATGGCACCAAGAATGTCGATACTTCCGGAATATTATATTCCTGTAGGAACGGAACCCTCCGGAAAACTTGCGTTTTTTTTTTTTTTTTGTTCCGTTTTTTTGGGGGTTTTTTCTAGGTATCTAATTTTGATACTCGCTTACAAAATACAAAACTGATTGTCATGTTCAACACGCCAAACTCCATTCTCAAGATATTTAATGCAATAAGTTGTATTTTATTCATTCATTCCCGCCCTCACGTCTTTTTTTCTCGTTACTCGTTGAGAAAAGATAACTCATCTGTTGTCGCTTAGGTGTTGAAAGGGCATTTTAGACTGTAGGGAATTCGCTAAGCTGGGCTTCCTTCCTCACTATCCTATTAACGCAATGATGAAACTTGTCTATCATGATGAGTAAAAAGAAATTGAACCCATGACGAACACGAGCGCTGGTAGTTCAGCACAACAGCCCCAGTTTTAGGACTCAGTCTCTTCTTAAAAAGCTTACGGCCACATCATGTTGAAACACCGGTTCCCGTGCGATCATCGAAGTCAAGCAACGTCGGGCCTGGTCAGTACCTTGATGAGTGAAGGCTTGGGAATACCAGGTGCTGTAAGCTTAGATGTGCGGGTGGTGTAAATGGATAAGTTAAACAAGCTCGTGTCTCGTCAGTAGCTGGATGGGTGACCGCATGGGAATACCAGGTGCTGTAAATTTGGATGTGCGATATTAGCTCAGAATTGTTAATCGGAGATTCCAATTCCAATTGAGTTCGTTATATTCCCTTACGCACAAGTACCCTTGACAAAAGTATGAATCTCCCCCTGCTATGGATTAATTAGTAAGACTTGTATTATTAAATCATTATTATCACAAAAATTCTTAAAGTCTAAAATATTTTCTGACTTCTGCAAAGGGTTGATAAACCGTAGAATATGAATTAATCAATCTTCTTGAAAATTCGAAAATATTCGCCTGGGTAATCGTCTGGGTAATCGTCTGGGTAATATTATAGAAGAAGGCACTGAAAAGTTTTCGACTCGACTAAGAAAGGATGTAAAAAAGGAAAAAATTGTGAGTAGGTCTTGTTGAACACTTTTCGGTGCCCCTCCGGTAGCGTTATTCTTTTTAATAATGTTTGCATTTATTTCTGACCACTGATAATTCCTGTCTAATAACCTTTTTAACAACATCAAGACTCATAGCCTGGCTAAAAAAAAACTACAATAGTTTTTAAGCAAAAAGAACAATTTCAAAATCATTAATTCCCTCACTATTCTAGAAATATTTAGTAGGCAAACTGACTAAATCTTGGTGATGGATGGGCGGGTGATAAAACTCAAAACTTTGCATCTATATACTGGATTCATTTTCTGCTAAAATACAATCTGAATTCGTACTATTTGTATAGGTAATCATTAACGAAAATAAAAATTTGTTTAATACATTCTACTCATGATACCATGGGTCCCATAAAACATTGTATTGTATTATATTCAGTAACAAATCATGACAAAGGAGGACCCTTGCCGGCCTGATCAAAGGACGTGTCTCTCATATTCAGTAGCGTGCAGAATTGAAAGATCACTTGGCTAACTCAACGCACATCTTTATGTATTTACATGGAGTTAGTCTAAGAACGCATATATAAATGCAACCTTTAAAGCATTTGCACAGATCTTCTCTGTTTTTTCTTTTTTCGAGTGTCCAGTTGTAATCAATATTATTAAAAATGGTTATCATTTTTCACTTTATCTTCCCTTCCTTAATTAGTATGCACTGCGCTTGGTTGGTCATGTGACTCCCAACAACCAATCAACGGAGCCCCGTTTTTACAGAAGACAGTCTTTTTGTAGACGCAGTCTTTTTTATAGAGATTATGCATTCTTGACTTGTGTGTAGACGCAGCCTTTGTACTTGACGTGCCGGGCTTGTGAGTAAAGACAGCGTTTTGTAACATCCACTAGTTTTCTTTTTCAAAATAGGAAATAAACATGCAGCATATTTCTATAGTGTTTTATGTTTTCTTTTTAGAAAATAAAAGTTTAATTGACGTACTTCCGTCTTCTTTCTAACTGTCTTATTTTTGTCTAGCCTACTCACTAAATAAATGTTGGATTGAAATATGACGTCGAGCTGATATGTGTAACTTGTTTACATGCAAAGTCATTGCCAATTCTGCCATTCGTCAATTTCTTTCATCAGTTATTTAATTATTTTGCAGCTAATTAAATATAGTTGAAAACATTAAAACGAAATTCTTTGCTATTCGGCATTCTTTGAGCAAATAGATGCGCTCAACATTAAGAACCTAAGGCAAGTATACATTGTGGAATGAACTCGAAATTTATTATAGCAAACGGTATTCATTAATGATATCACCTATTATACGCCCAAGGTCCTTTCTATCTTAATTCGTGATGTTTGTGCAGTTCTTAATAATTTATAAAGATTTAGAATAGTCATTTTATGTGTTTTATAAGATTGATAGAAATGTGCCTTATAAGATTGATAATAATGTGTTTTACATGGTTGATAGTAATGTTTCATAAGGTTGGTAATAATGTGTTTTATAAGGTTGATATTAATGAGATATATTAGGATGATATTAATATTATATAAGGTTGATAGTAATGAGTTTTATAAGGTTGATAGTAATCTTTTATAAGGCTGATAGTAATGTTTTATGAGGTTGATAATAATGCGTCTCATAAGGTTAATATTCATGTTTTATATGGTTGATAGTAATGTTTTATAAGATTGATAGTAATATTTTATAAAGTTAGTAGTAATGTGTTTTGTAAGTTCGATAGCAATGTGTTTCATAAGTCTGATAGTAATGGTTGATAAGGCTGATAGTAATGTGTTTTATAAGATCGATAGTAATGTTTTATAAGGTCGATAGTAATATTTCATAAGGTTGATAATAATGTATTTTATAAGGTTGATAGTAATGTTTTATAAGGTTGATAGTAATGTATTTTATAATATAGCTCTATTTGCATCTTTCTTCTTTTACTTCTCGTATCTCTTTAGGACGTGGGTGAATAGCTCTCCAGAAATTCTTCTCCCTTGTTGCACTAAGCAACAATTGACTCTTTTTTCCTCCCTGGGGATTAATGATATTGTAACCACGTCAAGCAAAGGAAACCATATCTATCCGATTATGAGACAAAACAAAGTCATCTCGCCATACAAATTACTGTCAAAATTTAACACACGCAATTATAAAAGACAAAAGAACACGTTCATACCGACACTGTAGCGATAAGGCGTGTGGGCAGATTAACAGTTAAAAGCGTGAAAAGGGAATCGTTGAGTTGAATTCAAATTTTAGTTGTGACATTGTGGTCTTCAATTTACGCAATCAAATTTTGTGCCAACCTTAGTCATCAGCCTAAATAACATCTATAGTCTTATAAAAGTAAAAGTGCACGCATCATAAAAAAACAATTTTATGACACTTGGGTCTCTTTAGCTTTAATGAGTTATTGAGCTTACTCGCAATTTTTTCTCGACAAATAGAAGACTACATTGCTTTATTGATAATATTTTTCTGATATTAAAAAAAAAACAAAAAAACTAAAAGCCTCGCCAAAATCTTTTAAGTGTTAAAGATATAATTTGGCCATGATACAATATAAATGTTTATTATAATTTTTATACCCATCTGTTTTTTGTTTTTTTTTCTTATCCGGGAGTTCCTAAAAATATTACTCTGTTGGCACTCATTGCAATGAGGAATACTTTTACCAGAAGTATTGTGCGACAATAGTAAATCGAGCCTAATCTGGAATACATGATGAGGAAAGAGGGCTTGGAAAATTTAACACTCATAAAGCATATTGAAGGAATGACGAGCAAAAGGAAACAATGCGTAAACCTAATTAGTTTGTGCGATAGATACTTCTTGCATTTCGTCGCGAGATTATATTATTATTATTATTATTGTGTGTTTTTATTTCTATTGAAAATTAACTTTTATTTTTACTGGGTCATCTTATATTAAAGACTTTCCACTGGTGTTTTCATACGAAGAGAAAATTAAAAAAAAAAAAGGCATTGAAATACTCAATACTAGAGATCGTTTTACCTGGCACGATTTGATTTGTGTAAAAGTTTCTAGATTTTCTTCTTAAAAACAAAAGAAAGAAAACGGGGAAAACAAATTGGAACATTTCCACCCACGTCAAAGAGCATAGCATTTCGATTCTTACCAACTGGGATAGCCGTCTATGGGGTAGGGGGGGACTGATATAAAAATTGCATCACAGATAGTGTTAATGACAGAAAAATGATTCCTTAGTACATTCGTACTTCAATGGTGAGTTAGTAATTGCTGTTTCCGTCAGAGCCAAGTTATACAAAACTGCTGGATATATATATATATATATATATATATATATATATATATATATATATATATATATATATATATATATATATATATATACGTGTTTGCGTGCGTGCGTGTGTGTGTGTATGTAAGTGTGTGTGAAAACCCAAGATGAAGTTGAACAGATTTTAAAAATAGGCCAAACCTGTGTGCGTGAGCACTTCGGCGTAGTGTAATGGTTAGCGAGCTTGTCTCGCTAGATTAATTACGGCTGATTAGTGAGTTCGATCCTTACTGAGTGCTCCTTAATTTCAGCCTTGTGTCCCAACTTAGCTGTGCTTAATAAATCACTATGTGTGTGTGTGTGTGTGATGGATTTTCACTCGCTATACGAAGGTGACTACCAAGCAAGGCGCGACAGACTGGGAGGTTTCCGCACTTTCCACAGAAGCCCTTTGTCATTCATAGCTTGTGCAATACTATGTGGTCTCTCAGCATCAGACAGCTTTGATCCAATGACAAGAAACAGTCAAGACAATTGGAGACCGCCTGTGCCGCATAAGATTTAAGTAGCCCAATGGTAAAACACAGGGTTGTTAATGGTAAAATCATATTGGAATGATATGGCTTTCGCTACTGTCTACAGTATCAGTTGTTTCCAAGCAGTACCCCATCTAAGTACTAGCCAGGCACAGCGATGCTTACTTTGATTGAACAGGATCTGGTGCCTTTAGTATATATGTATGTGTATATATATATATATATATATATATATATAATCGATAACGGCACGAATTGAGGAATCGGAGAGCCGAGTTCGAATTCCAGTCGAATCCATTAATACCCTCGGGAAAGGTATGTATCCTCTTTTTCGTCGAAAAATTACTAAGGGTAAATAGCAGGACAGACTGGGTTCTATAGCCTTGGATATCAGCTGGTCCAGGAGAAGGACAACTCTGAAATCAAAACCTGGGGAGGGTCGTTTGGGGACCTTGTAGCGCGTGGTGCACTAAGTCTCTGTATTCGGCCCTTGTGGTTGGCACAAAGCATTCACCACTATAATCAAATCATACGTCGGTTCCTAGGAACCGAGTTGCTTGAACCCCATACGTCGAAAAAATATATAGCATATATATATATATATATATATATATATATATATATATATATATAATGAAATATAGTTTTCAGTTCTGCTATATTTATGTCCTCATCCACAAACAGACTGTTTCGCAGTATCACACACACACACACACACACACATATATATATATATTTATG